TTTCAAGTGAACTAGTACCGACTTTTTAATATTTATTCATAGGAAAACGGCATTTTTCTAATCCTGTTTACAGTAAATGTTCGAGATAATCTACATGATGTTCAATAGATTGATTTTTGAAAAGTCTTCTGATATTCGTAAATAGATATAGAAATAAGTTCATTACTTATTGCTTTACCTAAACTTATGACATGCTGATATTCATAAAAGCTACGTTTCAAGCAATTAAACAACCAAAAGTCTGAAAGAGCAAACCCAAAGGGTGTATAGTGAATGAATCATAATTTAGATTTTTAATTAAGATTGAGAATAGTTTCTTAGATATGTAATTTTACATTTTTTTATAATGCAAATTTATGCTATTTTTTCTTGTTAATGTTATTTTCGACTAATATTTTCAAGTATTCATCACGATAGTTTATGTGATAACTATGCCTAAGATTGTACTAATATAATCAGTAATAATACATTGTTCAGTAATGGCGATTACTTCGAGAATCATCTTTCAACAACTCTCCCAACTTGAAAGTTGATGAATCCAATGAGCAACTATACAATATAAAACAACACTTTATTCATAAGCAGTAGTTAATTCATTATGAATTTGTGTAGCAGTTAAATCTAATAACAATTGAGTTTTTTTGCCTATGAGGTATCCATCTGAAAACAGGTGACTAAAAATTCTACTTAGAATTTGCCTTAACCCTTTGAGGACGGGATTACTTTTCAAAAAGCTCACGTTCTCGAAACTTCGAAATAATATCTCTGCTAGAAAGGAGATGTATCAGAATACAATACATATGGTGGTGTAGCATCACATCGGTGGTGAAGAATCCATAGTCTACACTAAATGTATATCACCACTATATAATAAGAGACATATTCAAGTACGTTACAAGTCGATCGAGAACCGTTGCCTATATATAGGCTTCCCGTCCTCAAAGGGTTAATAGACAGTTGTGAAAATTCGTATTGATGGTTTCATACATAACAAATGCTGCTTCCAGAATAAGTCAACATGAGAAACAAAAACAATGTTGCCAGAAATTTTTAAGCACCCTATATGTATATCGAAATAAGAAAAACAAACTCTTGCTAAAATAAATATCGAAAAAAAACCTCTATCTGTTATTCCATATTTCATCTATCTATTTTAAATTGACAAATAATCGATGATAATGAACCTATAATAGAACATCTTTTCGCTTATTATCGATCAATTTACTTTATATTTATTCTAATATGAAATTTATTTTAAAACTAACACTTCCCATATCTATTAAGATAAAAAAGTGGATCTTGAATTTTGGCAGAAATGAAATCAATATTCTTTCTTTATTTTTAAAATTTTATTTGTAATTGTAATAGTTACAAAAAATTTGCTGAGAAATAATAGAACCGGTTTCTTGCATACACGGAATGTACTCGATATAAACAGAGAAAAATTACATAAGAAAAAAGTTATTTACAAAAACAAATATCATTTATTGATTCGTTTTGTTTGCGTTTTTCGATTATTCGTTGACGATTTTTTTCTACAATAAAGACAGTGAGCATATGTTAGTGCTACAAAAGGCACTTACCCTTGTTTTTTGACTAAGCGTTTACGCTTTTCTTCATTTAATTCTGCGTCCAATTGTTCGATCAATTTATTTCGCTCTTTCAGTACATGTTCAGTCCATTCTTGTTGAAACTTGTCAAATATTTTTTGCCACTCTTGCTTCATTTTTTTATCCCACTCTTGTATTTTTGCCTCCTGTTCGTTTTGTAGCGTAATCAACCATTGTGAGTGATCTTCTGCATCACTCTGAAGATAGATACACACGGAGAATTTCTACAATCAAAATGCACATTCATTGAACTTACATTGAGTGAATTATCAGAAATAGAAAGTCGCATAGTTGGTGGATTTGTGGTGCATGTTACAGGTAAATTGTAAGTAGGTGATACACTAAGCCCAAAAATATCGATCGATGGCTGTTTGTCATGTCTTGAAGCTGTTGTGACACCTTTAGGTACAACCGATTGATTGTTGACCGGTGAATGTGTGTCATACATTGGAGCTGCTGTGACACCTTTAGGTACAACCCATTCATTGTTGATCGGTGAATGTCTGTTATACATTGGAGCTGTTGTGAGACTTTGAGGTACAACCGATTGATTGTTGACTGGGGAATGTTTGTCGTACATTGGAGATGCTACATGACCTTGAGATGAATTTAATTGATTATTGAGTGTCAGTCTGGAAAAATTAATAAAAGATTTTTTCTTTATATTTGAACAAAAGTCACTTACAATTCAAATTTATCAACAGGATTAGAGCCTAAATAGAAAAACAAATCCGTTATAGTTTCAATGCATATATTCAAATAATAAGGTACGGGAAGAAAGTTCTCAGGAATTTTTCTATTTATGTCGATAGGAAAATGTCTGAGAACATTTTTTCGTATATTATTTGTTATGCTATAGGTATCATCTTCCTTCGAGTTTCTTACGTTTAGATGCTGAAGAAGAAATGATTGACGAATCTTGTACGGCTTTTGCTTGTTGACGTGTTTGAACTGCATGAACATCTATGAAAATAAAATATTGATAAAAATAAAAATGTGTTCAATTAAGAGTGAAAATTTTTGTTAATTAAGTAATCTATGTAGAAATAAAGACAGATTTGAATTTCAACAGCGACTTCGTTAATACAATCTTTTGTAGATTTGAGATATTTTTTATAGTATATGTATAATTATTTGCTTACACC